AATGACATCAGTTTTACAATAACAATAATATGAGTTAATTCCCTTTGACTGGGCTAAAGTTTTTACTAAAAAAACACTTTTTTATCGGAGCTCACAAAAACTGAATTAACTTGTCGTTCAAAATGTTCACTGAAAGAGAATCTTGTAAAGCTGAAAATATGTTGATAAACTTTTATCTTTAAAGAAGTTGGAGAAGAATGTTCCGTTTGTTTTCGTTGCTTGTAGTTGAATGTATTGTTCGTACTTATTTTTCGTAAGATTCAATAACGTAATTGAATAAGTTTTAGTTAAGTTGTAGAAGTTGGTGAGTGAGTTGTTTCGTTGAAATTGTAGCTTGAATTTCAGTGAAGTTATTATTTCATGTTAAAGAACTTGAGGTCCTAACTTGGTACTTCGCTGTAGTAATGATTCAAGCGTCGTGAACTCGTTTAGCAAATTCTAGTCGTCGTAATTTCTCACTGACTGGGTTCGCTCGTACCTTCAATTTATATGTTTTTTAATCGCGTGACAGGCTCCAATAAGCATTGTTTTTTCGTCAGGTCAAAAACTAGGTTGACGTTCGTTATTCGGACGTAGTGGTGAGCAGGTAAATTGTTTTTTTAACATCTGTTAACCACTCAGAAAGCGCCTTACAAAACTCAGTCTGGAGCCTGATATGTTTTTTTGTGATGCTTATTGAGAACAATGCACGTGAACATATACGAGATAATTTTAATATTTATTGTCCAATGAGAAGTTCAGGTTTTCAGAAACATTTATGAAGATGTGATCCGCTTTTTTGAACGAAAATCGACATTGATGAAAAAGTGGTAGCGGACAGCTAAAACTGGACCCACAGTTACAGAAAGTTAGACCCATATGCTCTGAATCATACGATAAAAACTGCAATAAAGATAATTAAGTAAGAAGATATTATTTATTAAAAATGCTTTTAATTGCTTTTATGAATTATGGACATTATTGATATAAGAAAATATTTTTAAAATTTCCATTAATTTATAAAGTTTTAAATCTTAAAATTCTATACAAGCTCTACTAGTCATGAAATAAAATAGCTTACTACAATTCACCACTCCCCAGTATTTTAAAAAGAATTTAATTTTTTTTCATGTATGTAAAAAAAGTGACGACTTTTGTAAATACAGAGATCTGTTGCAGAGTTTAGAATATTAATTTAAAAAAATATTATCAGAAAATTTTTATTATTTCTGGTTAATTTTTTTAACTGATTAACCTGCGTGAAGAAAACTACAAACATTTAAATTTTGTTGTTTGCCTGACACAAGGTCAATAAATAACATTCTCAATTAGTGACTAAACAACTCTTTTGTAAATGAAAAAGAGATATTTGAATTTATGTACAGAAATTTATATTTGTTGTTGCTGAAATAAAATTCAAAGAGATTGTATCTTATGGAACTTTTTATATTTTTCTTGTTTGCTCTCAGGAAAATTTCACTCCTTTCTTTTAAAAGGTATTGTTCATAATAATTTCTGTGACAGTGAATATTACACAAACTGTCTTTTCTCTTGGAACATTTCAGTCAATGTAAGATGGATGTTTTAATTTGTTTCTTTTTTGTAAGTCAGTTTTTAAATTGTAAAATACTGTTTCATTTAAATTTTTTAAAACAAATCAATAAATTTCACTCGCAAGTATTTTTTTAAAACGAACAAAGTTGTCTGCATTTAACTGTGAATGCTTTACAGAGAGGTTTCCCTTTTTTATATTCGTTACAATTTTAAATCAAATATTAAGAAATAGAATTTAAAATAAGAAATTCGAGAATGAATTTTTAACAAATGTGAATCTGGTATGCGAACTTGCAAGATGATAAATTTGTTATTGAAATAGAATTATCACTTTATATATATATATTTTTTTTTGTGAAATGTGTCAGGTATATTTTTAGAAAAGGTTGTAATTTGAAATTGAAAGTGTGTGAGAAAAAAAGGTTTTTCAGTACATTACTTTCCATGCAGTTTATACAAGTGTAGATGCAATGGTAAATTTGCGTTTTAATCCCCGTGCTAAAAATCTATTAAAATTTTCCCAAATCGTCATATTTCCGTGTAAATGTATATGCTGAACTCAAAATAACAATTAAACTGTGATAAAACCTACCGTTTTGGAGTTACCGACAAGAAAAATTCAGACTCACTTGCAGTCATTCGTTTGCCATTACCAACTTTGTGTAATTAGATTCACTGCAGATCACATCCGAAAAATCGCAATCATAATTTTTAGCCATTTACTGCTTTTAAATATAAATTACATTAGATATCACTATAGCATGTAGGAGCTGTTTCAATATACCAGTCAGGTATAAGAGATGTGTGAGCTGACATGAAGTTAGTACTAATAATACTACTACTACTGTCACAGAAGAAAGAAAAGAAGAAAGAAGAAGCCCTAAAACCAACAAGAGTTTTTTCTTTACTAAGAATGTCTTTTCTAAACTTTGTAAGATTCAGCATATATGAGAATGCCTTGAAAACCAATAAAGCCAGCCATGCACTGAGGTAGGTTTATCTTTTCTCATCCTGTTACAGAATTTGAAGGACAGGATCAGAATGGTCAGCAATTGGACAGAGTAACTCATAGGTGAGGCATTCTGACAGTGATGGATTACCTTTGTCTGCATTTTGAATATAAGTCCAAAATGGCGCAAATTCAACAGAGGGTCTCAAGAATTCTGAAGCATCAATATGCCTCCCACTCCCAGGTTTACGACTGGCTAATATCACCCACAGAGCAGTTTGATACTCATATTTCTTGTTCCTCATGGGAGCAATCAGAGAAATCTCTCTCTATAAAGCATCTTATCAAGAGAAGGACTTTGTTAGCTAGGAAACAAAACTTTCTTTCCTCACAAATATTACTATTTTGTATTCTCTCTTTTCAACTAAAGTTAAACAGTTATTTTGAGCCATGAGCTTATTCAATCATTAACTGAAGAATTAAGATTCACCAGAAATTTCAAGTAGGAAAACCGCGAAATTTTCACAGGTTAAAACTTGTTTATGAATTAATCTCAGAGTGATAATTAAAATGAATTAGATAATTATCTATCAGTCTCTAAGCAGATATACAAAACGGATGCCATAAATGTCATTTACATAATCATTAAAAGTAAAGATTATGTTCAGTATCAGAAAGTATGAGTCTTAAATTGAAGTAAAATTTGTCAACTCAAATATTTGTTCATTTGGATTTGGGTTTTAATTTGTCCTTTTCCCTAAAATGATTAAAGTAATTCTTAATGTCCACAATGTTCTTTGTTTTATGTATTTAGTAGGAAACCATATTTTAGTGAAGGAGATTCTTTTTTTTTATTTTGTAGCTATGGAAGAAGAACTTTTGGCTTTTTTATTGAATATGGAATTAAAGGCCCAAAACCAATTGCTTATCTTGGAAATCTTTTGGAAATGAGTAAAAAAGTGAGTATTTAAAATTTGAAAAAGAAATTCATTGCAATTTTAAAATTCTTCAAGAAATACAAGTAGTTGATTTCAAAATTTTATACGTTTTAATCTTTGATGTGCTCAGTGACTGATTGTATTTACTTACTGAGCAAAAATTATCATTCTTCTATTTGTAAGTAAATGGTATATAAAAAGAGAAAAGCAGCGACTTGGATGAGGACTGAGTTTTCAATCAGTCATTTTAGAAACTTTATCAGTGGAGTATTTCTCTGCTGTATATTTCATTTAATGTATTTTTGCATTAATTTTTTATTTGAAAAAAAAAAATTCATTTTCTGGTAAAAAAACTAGCATGTTATATGCTGATTTTGTTGTGAAAAAAAAATCCAAAATCATCTAGTTTTTTGTACTGATGCAAAAATATCTTGAAAAATCAAGTCATGTTTGAAACAGTAAAAATAAGTGGTTTTATGACCTTTTTTCAAGTAATAATGATGGACAGTTAAATTTTATTTTAAACAAACAATAATATTTCTAACAATTTTAGTTTTTTAAGTATGAACTTAAATAAACCTAATTTTTTTAATTAATTTGATTTTTTTTTTTCATTGCATGTCATCCTTGTGCAAAATGTTTATATCCAGTTCGTTTTAAATTGATTTTTGATAAATTGCATTTTTTAAATATTCATTTATTTTCTTTGTTTTTTTTGTTATAGGAGTTTCACATGATATATTTTTGATTGGAAGGAAAAATATGGAGAAATATAGACAAACAAATATGGGTCCAGTTCGTTTTAAAAAAAAATTTTTTCTATCAATCTGTTTAGACGAGTTAACTATTAGCGTATTTTGTAAAAAGAAATTTTGAAAAGAGAAACAAATTTTTTTCTACCAAAAAGTTAAAACTAATAAAAAAAAAAAACAACTTTCAAATGCTGAGTAGGTAATTTTGAAATGAGTTACAGCAACAAAATAAAAATCCTAAAAATGACTAATCAAAAAAGAAAATAGACAATATGTTTTTTACAGGCAGTGGTTAAAATGGATTGATAGAGTATTTGATTTCATTTAGAGACTCGTTGATTTCAAAGGTAATTTGGCAAAGAAACAACCTTTTTTCTTTTCAAGATTTATCAAGGAAAAAGTTTATAATAAAAAAAAAAAAGAAACTTTCAAATGTTGAGGTGGTATTGGAATACATTTTTTACAAGCATGGAGAATTAGTAAAGATGAAGATGCAAGAAAAAAATCCAAGCTTGATTTTTGACAGTAAAAATTTAAATTTTCTTCTTTTGTTAAGGAAACCTTTTTCATACACTAAGTATGTAACATATATATATATATATATATATATATATATATATATATATATATATATATATATATTTTTTCAAAAGTTTGTTCTAAAACAAATTTTTTTTTTCAAAACTAATGATACATGATAATTTTTAATTTCCATTTTAAATTTTAATTCCATTCAGTCATTACTGAGTCTATTTATTTTCTTGTAGCATATTTTTGGGATCGCAACCCAATCTGATTATTTCTGACCCTGAAATTATTAAAGATCTGATGGTCAAAAATTTCTCCAATTTTACAAACAGACCTGTAAGTATTTTTCTTACTAATTTCAGTCATGGTTAGAAGACATTAATGATTATCAATTTTAGTTTAGTTGTTGAGAAAAAGAAATTCAGGGAAATGAGAGGAGGAAGATTGTGTTGTGCCATTTTCCAAAGGGAAGGAGACCTAACAGCTTTGAAGATCATAATCTGAAATTCTAGCATTTAACCGAACTTTAGGATGGACTGTGACTTTGAAATGCAAATCTACCTGTCAATTTTCTCTCCTTTATAATGAACATGAATTTAAATAAAGTCTTACATTTACTTTTGAATCATTTTTGCAAGGACTAAAGGATTTTCTTTACTGAACTGTATTCATTTAAATGCATTGTGTTTTAATTACAAACACTTGTTTTATTTGGTTCCATTATTAGAGTGTATATCAAAGTTGAATTGTGATATATATATATATGTAAGCAAATATGTAGATATAGATCTGACAGTATGAAGAAAAAAATGGAAAAAAAAAATTCGAATATGCAAGTATGCTGTTTTAATGTTGTTACAATATTGACGTTTCATCTTGAATATCATCTAATTTTAATTATGTTTTAATAACTATGTCCTGAAGAAGGTCTGCTAGACTGAAACGTCTGACGTCGACACTGTAACAACATTAAAACAGCATACTTGCATATTTGGATTTTTGTTTTTCCATTTTTTTTTCTTATATATATATATATATATATATATATATATATATAATGTGTGTGTGTGTGTGTGTATTAATTCTGTTTTCTCTTTTAATATATCTTTATTTCCTTTGACAGTTATTATTCCCAGTAGATGAGTACAGTGCAAACATGGTAAATGTTGCAAAAGACGATCACTGGAAGTATCTTCGAACTGTCTTGGCACCATCTTACAGCTCAAAAAGAATGCGTGAGGTATATATTTCATAAAACATTTCTTTAAAACATATTTTCTTGTCATTTGTTGTCAGAATTGAGTTCAGTATATAAATTAATTTGTTGCATTAATTAATCATTCTTAATTCTATAAACTCAGTGTCCCATATAACCAAACGCCTTCTTGTTGCTATTAAACCCTGGTTCCACTGTCTGGGTATCTCAATCTATCAACCAGTCTTCTCTATCATCCACATTGTATTTCAGTTGATCAGAGAAAGATCAAAATTGATTGAAACACCCCCAGGAACAAAAGGCGGGAAATTACAAGAAAAAGAAGGAAGCAAATTTCAGGATAGACAACTGACTTTTGGTTGTAGAAACAATAACATAGAATTTACTTATCCTATGAGTGGTGGGTGGGGTATGGTTATCAGATTACCCCTTCCCACTTCTGTGGTGCATGGGTCTACTTAACTATGGTCAGTTTGTAAGTAGGGAGGTATCAGTTTAATTCATAATATATTGCAACACATCAGCAATGCCCTGGGCTGGTGATTGATTGTCAGTTCAATAATTCAAATAGGGAACTTTGGTCTTGGGCCTGCAGATAATGTTGACCTCCAAAAACCTGGTCTGCAAATTTTTCACTCAATTGTCAGTTTGGAAAAGAAAATACTTGAGCTAATAAAGTGTCTTCTTGGCAGTATCTTGCATGGGCTGATGTTGTGATTGTAGTCAGTGACAAAGAAAGTTGACAATGTCAAGTCCTCTACTCCATTTTTCATGTTTGCTTGTGTCCACGTTAATGTCTACACAGGATTCATTTACCGGCATGACTGCTCATCACTTTCACCCCATAGAACTGAACCACTACACCCCCAATTATAGGTAATATATTTCTTTCAAGTATCATATTACAAATTGATTTGTATGTAGGTATAGTAACATGATCAGTGAGAAGATTTTTGAAAGTTTTATTCACCAGGCTCTCACTGGCAGGATCAGCATGATCTGTGACCCAAATAGACAATGAAGCAAAAAAATAGGTTAATATGAAAAAAAAAAGAAAATTGGGCCAAATTATGGGTTAACTCATTTATCTCAATTGTCATTTAATAATAGCAAGTGGAGGTGGGTGAGGGGTTGCACATTATTCAACTTGATCCAACTAATTAAAACACTGTTAAGTCAAGAGTTCAAATCCAGACAATTCCAGGTGCTAATTCATTTTATTGGAATTAAGTACTTTTTATTTCTTCAAAAAATACTAGAAAAACACACAAACCAGGGCACTTCTTGTAGGCTACTAAAATCCAAATTGCTAATCTTGCTTATCTAGGATTAACTTTAGATAAACTTAAGTTAATTCCTGTTCTAACCAGCACTAAGTAGAAGATGACTCATATAATTCACACCAATAATTCTGTTACACTCAAAAGACAATTTTAGTGTAAAGAAGGACATGATCAGAGGAAGAGCAACCAACTAAAATATGAGAAAAGAAAAATAAATTAACACAGTGGAGTAATGGATAGTGGCTTGGATTGAGGAATCAGAGAGCTGAGTTCAAATTCCAGTCGAATCCATTACATTCACTTATGTGCTAATACCCTTGGGAAAGGTATGAATCCTCATCTTCTCCACCCAGCTATGTGTAAATAGCAGGACAGGACAGGTTCTATAGCCTTGCATGGCAACTGGTCTACTGCAGAAAGAAATGGCAACCTACTGTGGAAAAAATCTGCATCGTCGACCATGTATCTTTCAATACATGTTCGCCGAAGCATATATCATGCATAGCACATAACTGACTGACCTGATCATATTTTAAATAATGTTGAAAACGCTGCATTAAAATATTAATTTTTTTTTGTGGTTTTTAATTCCAGATGGTTCCATTGATTGAAGATGTCCTGAAGACTTTTGAAAAAAACTTAAATAAGATTGCAGACAACAAAGAAGCGATTGATGTTACCATGTGAGATATTTTGTGTGTTTATGTTATTTAAAATATAATATGCCAATTGATTTTTTCTGTAATGTCTGTCTCTAGAGTTGTCTCCCTTATCTTGCCGATTCTTTTATACACTTAAAAAGTTTTGTTTTTTAATCGTTTCACACAAGGAAAGCGACAATGCCATAAGAATGCAGAGGGTTACTGGGAGTGAAAGAGAATAAGAATATTGAGAATAGGGAGGTTTGTGGAAAAAACAAAAAAGAAACACGGTTCAAGAGGAAAGAAGATGACAATTGGTGTTGTTATATTAAGCATATGGCGGAAGAACAAAGAAGAAACAAGAAAGGTTTAAAGAAATAAACAACTGTATTAACGTAAGATACAACAAATGATAAATTGGTGTAGAAATCTCTCATTGAAAAAAGGAGATTAGTGAAGTGCCCACAGAGGCGTAAGGTAGGAGAGGAAGTGACAGGAGTGATGGCCTTTGTCAAGCTGTCTCTTACTCTTGGAGACGAGAGGTTACTTTCAGACAAAGTCTAAACCAGGCCAAAGATGCCATCTAACTGCTGTAAATGTCTCTTTCATGGGCTTTTCTTAGGCCCAAATTGGCTCTGAGGGTGGGACTGGGTGCTATTATATGGAAATTCTGGATTGTCTTGTTTATTTTTTTTCTTTGACTCCATTAGTCAAAGGAGGTTGCGTAGTTGGGTGTTAGAAGCATTCACATCCAGCCAGTGGTGGAAATTAGTGTAGAATGAATCAGAAGATCTGGTTTTAGGAAGAATATTCCGATGATTTAATATGAACATTTTTTCGTTTTGACAAACCATCAAAACTACCAAGTTTAAATATTTGATTCCTTTTCCTGAAACAAACTTCTAACTACTCCAGATGTGTAATTAAATTCCTTGTCATTTTCCCTCAATATTTTAAGAGAAGCAAGAAATTGGAAGCAATTTCCACAGGTGGGAAGTGTGAGAAAAAAAACCTACTCAAGTAGAAGTGGCATTTGCATCTCGTAAGTTCAATAGTAAAACTATAAGACTGAGTTGCCAACCTAATTGCATGTTTAAATTCATGAAGTCAAGGGCACCAGAGGAAAAAACTCATCAGATCAGTTACCATGAAAATATTTGTAGAAAAGACAGAGGGAAACCAATTCATGTCAGTGAGAAAATGAAGATGAGATGCCTGGTCAGAATCGATTACATTACAGACTATTCTTTGGATTTTGTCAAGAATCTCAAGATGTACAGTAGAAACACCAGACCAGATATGGATTAATCGAAACCAACATTCTAATGAGAAAAAACAGATCAACAACTTAACAACAGGTGTCATAAAAGTATCAATCATGCCAACAAACAAGACTGTATGAACCAAAGACATACTACCTGGCACTAGTCAATTATACAAACATAAAACATTGGTTTCTTAAAATACAGGCAGAACTTACAACATGGAAGATTAAATTTGCATAGAATGTCCACCATGAGAAATAACTGTCATTGTTTCTGTTCTAGAAAATATAAAAAATTAAAAAAATTATCATGGACCTTACAAAGTCCTGTTCAACCCCAAAAATATATTATAATCCAGAATAGAGGAATTATGCTATTGAAACATCTAGAAAATTCTATAACACCAATCTGATTGATGTTGACATTTTCATTGAAATCAATTCTAATGATCTTAGAAAGAGTTTTACTTCATTTTAATTTTTCTTTTTTCAAATTTAAATTCAATTTAAATTCTTTCATAAATAATTTCATCCATTTTGAAATGTCTTTTGTACTTCAACTATTTGAATATGTTTTTGCTATCTCATCCCAGATCTCATGTTTCATTCTGAATGTGTATAAAAATATATTATTCAATGATATAACTATATAATTTTGTATAATTTTTATATCAAGAAAAGGTATTTAGAAAAATATGACAAACTGGAAAGGTATTTTTGTGATGCATTTCAATAAAGCCCACTCCGATAAAATCCGGACAGATGAAATGCATCACAAAAAAAACGTACCAGTTTGTTATATTTTTCTATATATTGTTCAATATAGCACTAACAAGCCAGAGTACACAACTTAATAAATGCTTCATTCAAGGCAACAATTTCATTAAATTATTCCATATTCAAGTATAACATGTGTTGAATATTGGTTAGCTTGCAAGTGGTTTGACACACAAGTAGACTGATGTAACCCAAGATAAAACTAGATCCAAGACATTTAATGGAAAGATATATGGGTGAATAGAGATCACTCATGCAAATATGTTTGGCAGGTCTATTCTAGCAGAATGGAACAACCCACCTGCTGCATTAGGCACTCTCCTATAAAATGAGATAAAATAAACTGTTGTGCTTTTCCAAGAAGGCAACCATGTTAGCAGGTAAGCCAGTTGACTTCTGCAACATGTGACTATGCCTTAGCAATGTAAGCAAATTTTCAAAATTCAGTTTTAAGAACCTTTTTGACCAGTATTATTTCACATTTGAAAAGTTGATGAATTTCACATTAAACGATTGTATTAATTATTGACAGTCATTCTTGCATCTCTTCTTTTAAGAACATATACAGATACTTTTCCAAAAAATAAAAAATCAAAGTTTTAATTCTCATTTAAATAATTATTTTGTAATTAAAACACACATATATATATATATATATATATATATATATATATTGAATGCACACTGATTCTTTCTTTTTTCACAGTTTGTTTTCAGGTTATACAATGGATGTGATTGCGTCAACTGGATTTGGGATTGAAGTAGATTCACAGGAAGATCCTGACAGCCCTATTGTTAAAAATGCACGAAAAGTTTTTGATGGTGACTTTTTCAAATCTTTTCAGGCGGTAGCAAGTAAGTAAGATAAAAAAACAAAAAAAAACAAAACATATGCTCACTATAAGTTCTGATGCTAACACTAACACCTCTTGCTTGGGGAACTATCTTCTGCGTTCTTGCTTTGAAAAAATTAAATGCAATGTCAATCATCATGTTCTATCTGCTACCTGTTCTTTTATTGTTCTATCACCTTAATAAAATTATAAAAACAATTTAAAAATTAAAACAGTTACCTTTCTTACATGCTTGGTATTTGAAAAGAATTTGTTGTGATAAGAAACCTATCTTTGAATTTACAGCAGAATCACTGAATCCAATTGATATTCTGCTTATAGAAAGAGATCTGCAAGGTATTCATGATGAATTTTGTCATGTGATTTAAAACCTTCCCTTTTCTTCTTTTATCCTATTGATCCATCATAGAAAGAGATCTGCAAGGTGTTCATGATGACTTTGTCATGTGATTTACAACCTTCCCTTTTCTTTTATCCTATTGATCCATAATAGAAAGAGATCTGCAAGGTGTTCATTATGACTTTGTCATGTGATTTACTTTTTTCCTTTTCTTCTTTTTATCCTATTGATCCATCATAGAAAGAGATCTGCAAAGGTGTTCATGATGACTTTGTCATGTGATTTTCAACCTTCTCTTTTATTCTTTTATCCTATTGATCCATCATAGAAAGAGATCTGCAAGGTGTTCATGATGACATTGTCCTGTAATTAACAACCTTCCCTTTTCTTCTTTTATCCTATTGATCCATCATAGAAAGAGATCTGCAAGGTGTTCATTATGACTTTGTCATGTGATTTACAACTTTCCCTTTTCTTCTTTTATACTATTGATCCATCATAGAAAGAGATCTGCAAGGTGTTCATTATGACTTTGTCATGTGATTTACAACCTTCCTTTTCTTCTTTTATCCTATTGATCCATCATAGAAAGAGATCTGCAAGGTGTTCATGATGACTTTGTCATGTGATTTTACAACCTTCCTTTTCTTCTTTTATCATATTGATCCATCATAGAAAGAGATCTGCAGCCTTGTTCATGATGACTTTGTCATGTGATTTACAACCTTCCCTTTTCTTCTTTTATCCTATTGATCCATCATAGAAAGAGATCTGCAAGGTGTTAATGATGACTTTGTCATGTGATTTACAACCTTCCCTTTTTCTTCTTTTTATCCTATTGATCCATGTTCTTCTTTTCTCCAAGGTGTTCATTATGATTTTGTCAGGTGATTTTCATCCTTCCATTTTTCTTCTTTTTATCATATTGATCCATCATAGAAAGAGATCTCTATTTTTCATTTTTATCATTTCCTTTGTTCTGTGATTTTACAATCTTCTTTTTTCTTCTTCTTTTATTTTATTCCTCCATTCTTAGAAAGAGATCCTTCTCTGTTCTGTTTTATGACTTTGTCATTCTTGATTTACAACCTTTCCTTTTCTTCTTTTATCCTATTGATCCATTTTAGAAAGAGATCTGCAAGGTGTTTTTTGACTTTCCAGGTGATTTATCAACCTTCTTTTTTCTTCTTTTCTTCTTTTTATATTTATCCATCATTCTTCTTTTATCCTTCAAGGTGTTCATTTGACTTTGTCATGTGATTTCAACCTTCCTTTTCTTCTTTTATCCTATTGATCCATCATCTTTTTAGATCTGCAAGGTGTTCATTTTGACTTTGTCTTCTTCTTTTTACAACTTTCCCTTTTCTTCTTTTTATCCTTCTTGATTCTTCTTTTTATCCTTCTCTGTTCTTCTTTTTTTCATGATGACTTTGTCATGTGATTTCAATCTTCTTTTTTCTTCTTTTATCCTATTGATCCATAATCTTTTTTCTTCTCTTTTCTTGTTCATGATCCTTTTTGTTTTTCTTTTATCCTTTCCCTTTTCTTCTTTTTATCCTTTTGATCCATCTTAGAAATCCTTCTGCTTTTCTTCATTTTATCTTTGTCATTCTGATTTTTTCCTTTTTTTCCCTTTTCTTCTTTTTATCCTTCTCCATTCTTCTTTTTATCCTTCAAAGGTGTTCTTCTTTTTATCCCTTTTCTCTTTTCTGATTTTATCCTTCCTCTTTTCTTCTTTTATCCTTCTGATTTTCTAGAAATCCTTCTGCTTTCTTGTTTTTTATGACTTTCCTCTTTTCTTCTTTTTCTCCTTTTCTTCTTTTCTTCTTTTTTATATTTGATCCATTCTTCTTTTATATCTTCTTTTCTTTTTATCCTTCTCCTCTTTCTTCTTTTATCCTTCTTTCTCCTTTTTATTTTTTCTCTTCTTTTTTCTTTTATCCTTTCCATCTGTTCTTTTCTGCAAAGGTGTTCATGATTCTTTTTTATGATTTTCTCTGTTCTTCTTTTTATCCTTTCCCTCTTTTTCTTTTTATCCTTCTCCTTTTTCTTTTTTATCCTCCTTTTTTTTATCTTTTTTTTCTTTTTTTTTTTCTTTTTTCCTTCTTTTCTTCCTTCTCCTTTTTCTTTTTTATGATTTCTCCCTTCTTCTTTTATCCTTGATCCTTTTTTTTTTCTATCTTCTTTTTCATGATTTCTTTTTTTGTGATTCCTTCCCCTTTTCTTCTTTTATTTTTTTATCCTTCTTTTTTCTTCTTTTCATTATTCTTTTTCCTTCTTTTTCTCCTTTTCTTTTTCTTCTTTTATCCTTCTTTCCATCCTAGAAAGAGATCTCTTTTCTTCTTTTTTCATTTTGATTTCTTTTTTCTTCTTCCTTCTTTCTTTTAGAAAGAGATTTTTCTTTTTCTTTTCCTTGATTTCAACCTTCCTTCTTCTTTTCTTTTTTCCATTTCTTCTTTTTTCTTTTAGGTTTTTTCTTTGATCTTTTTTTTCTTCTTTTCCTTTTTTGACTTCTTCTTTTTTCATTTTATCTTCTTTTTTTTTTTTATCCTTTTCTTCTTCTTTTTGGATTTCTTCTTTTCTTTTTTTTATTTTTTCTTTTTTTTCTTTTTTTTCTTTTTCTTCTTCTTTTTCTTTTTTTTCCTTTTCCTTTGTTTTTTTTTTTTTCCCTTCCTTTTCTTCTTTTTATTTTCTTTTCCATCCATTTCTTTCTTTTTTCCAAGGTGTTTCTTTTCTTCTTTTTCTTTGATTTTTTTTTTCCTTTTCTTCTTTTATTCTTTTTTTTTTTTCCTTCTCCTTTCTTCTTTTATGATCTTTTCTTTTCTTCTTTTTTTCTTCTTTTCTCCTTTCTTCTTTTTAGAGATTTTTCCCTTGTTCTTTTTTTTTTCCTTCTGATTTTTTCTTTTATCCTTTTCTTCTTTTTATCTTATTTTTATAGAAAGAGATCTTTTCTTCTTTTTTCATTTTCTCTTTTCTTCTTTTTTCCTTTCTTTTCTTCTTTTATCCTTTCCCTTCTTCTTTTTCTTTTCTTTTGTTCTTTCCTCCTTTTCCTTTTTTTACAATCTTTTCCTTTTCTTCTTTTTTATCCTTCTCCTTTTTCTTTTATCTCCTTTTCTTTTTTTTCTTTCTTCCTTTTTTTTTTTATTCTGTCCTTCTTTTTTCTTTTCTTCAAGTTTTTTTTTTTCCTTTTTTCTTTTTTTTTTTTTCCTTTCTTTTTTTTTTTTTTTCTATTTCCTTCTTTTTTTTTTTTCATTTTCTTTTTGGGTGATTTCTTTTTTTTTTTTTATTTTCTTTTTTTTTGATTTTTCATTCTTCTTTTTTCTTCTTTTTTTTTTTCCTTTTTTCTTCTTTTCTCTTTTCTTTTTTTTCTTCTTTTTATCCTTTCTCCTTTTTTTTTTTTTTTTATTCTTATTTTTTTCTTTTTTTTTTTCTTTTTTTCTTCTTTTCTTTTTTTCTCTTTTTTCCTTTTATTTTTTCTTTTTCATTATCTTTCTTCTTTTTCTTTTTTTCTTTTTCTTTTTTTCCTTTTTCCTTTCTTTTTTTCTTCTTTTTTTTTCATTCTTTCTTTTTCTTTTTTTTTTTTCTTTTTTTTTTTTTTCCTTTCTCCATTTTTTTTTTTTATCTTCCTCTTCTTTTTTTTATTTTCCTTTGTTCTTTTTTTTCTTTCCTTCTTTTTCTTTTTATGATTCTTCTTTTCTTTCTTTTCTTTTTATCCTTCTTTTTTTCTTTTTATCAATTTTAGTTTTTCTTTTTTTTATTTTCTATTTTTTTTTTTAAAGAGATCTCTTTTTTTTTTTTCCTTTTTTTTTTCTTTTTCTTTTTATCCCTTTTTTTTTCTTCTTTTTTTTTCTCATTTTTTTTTTTATCCTTTTCTCTTTTTTTTTTTCCTTCTTTTTCTTTTATCTTTTCTTTTTTTTTTTCCTTTTCTTTTTTTTTTTATTCCTATTCTTTTTTTTTTCCTTTCCTTTTTTCTTTTATCCTTTTTTTTTCTTCTTTTTTTTGATTTTTCCTTCTTTCTTTTCTTTTTTATCCTTTTGATTCTTCTTTTTTTTTCCTCTTTCTTCTTTTTTTTTTTTCTTTCTTTTTTTTTTTTTTTTCCTTCTTTTTCCTCTTTTTTTCCTTTATTTTTCTTCTTTTCTTCTTTTTTTGAATTTTTTTTCTTTTCAACCTTCTTTTATCCTTTTATCCTTCTTTCTTTTTTCATCCTTTCCTTGTTCTTTTTTATCCTTTTCCTCTTTTATTTTTTTTTTTTTTTTTTCTCCTTTTCTTTTTTTTCATTTCTTCTTCTTTTTTTTTATCCTTTCCTGATTTTCTTTTTTTTTTCTGTTTTCTTTTATTATTTGATTTTTTTTTTATCCAGGTGTTCATTATTCTTTTTTTATCATTTCTTCTGTTCCTTTTTTTTTTTTTTTTCTTTTCTTCTTAATTCTTTTCTCTGTTCTTCTTCTTCTTTTTTCCTTTTTTCTTTTTTTATCATTTCCTTTTTCTTTTTTTTATCCTTTTTTTCATTCTTTTTTATCCTTCTTTTCTTCTTTTTATCTTCCTCTTTTTTTTTCATCTCATTTTTTTTTTTTCTTTTTTTTTTTTTTTCTTCTTTTTTATCATTTTCTCTGTTCTTCTTTTTCTTTTTTTTCTTTTCTTTTTTTTTCAAACAATTCTTTTCTTTTTTTTTTTTTGAATTTTTTTTTTTTCTTTTTTTTTTTTTTTTTTTCTTTTCTTTTTTTTTTTCTTTTTTTTTTTTTTTATTTTTCCTCTTTTTTTTTTATCCTTTTCCTTTTTCTTTTTTATCCTTTTCCTTTTTCTTTTTTCCTTCATTTCCCTTTTCTTTTTTTATTTTCCTTTTTTTTTCCTTTTTTTTTTGTTCAGTTCTTCTTTTTTTATCCTTTATTTTTCTTTTTTTTCCTTTTTCCTCGGTTTTCTTTTTTCCTTTTCCTTTCTTTCTTTTTTCCTTTTTTTCTTCTTTTTTCTTTTCCTTTTTTTTTTTTATTGATTTTTTCTTTTCTTTTTTTTCTTTTTTTTTTTTCTTTTTTTATTTTTTTCCTTTCTTTTTTTCCTCCTTTTTTTTTTTTTCCTTTCTTCCTTTTCTTTTTTCTTCTCTGTTCTTCTTTTTTATCCTTTTTCTTTTTCTTCTTTTTTTCTTTTTTTCCCTTCTTTTTTTTTATCCTTTTCTTTTCTTTTTTTTTTTTTTCCTTCTTTTTTTTTTTTTTTTCTTTTTTTCTTTTTTTCCTTTTTTTTTTTTTTTCTTTTTTCTTTTTTTTTTCCTTTCCTCTTTTTCTTCTTTTATTTTCTTTTAAGGTGTTCTTCTTTTTTATCTTTTTCCTCTTCCTTTTCTTCTTTTATCCTTTCTTTCTGTTTTTCTTTTTTTTTTTTTTTTTTTTTCTTTTTTTTTTCTTTTTTTCTTCCTTCTTTTTTTTTTCCTTATTCTTTTCTTTTTTTTTTATTCCTTCTTCTTTTTTTTTTTCTTTTTTTTTTCTTTTTTTTTCTTTTTTATTTTTTTCCTTTTTTCTTCTTTTTATTTTTTTTCTTTTCTTTTTTTTTTTCCTTTCTTCTTTTCTTTTTTTTTCTTTGTCATGTTCTTTTTTTCTTTTTTCCTCTTTTTTCTTTTTATCCCTTTCTTTTTTATTTTCCCTTTTCTTTTTTTTTTCTCTCTTCTTTTTATCTTTTTTTCTTTTTTTATTTTTCCCTTTCTCCTTTTTTCTTTTTTTTATCCTTCTCCTTTTTCTTTTTTATCCTTTCCCTTTTTCTTTTTTTTCTTCTTTCTTTTTTTTTCTTTCCTTTTCATTTAATTCCCTTTTTCTTTTCTTCTTTTTTCCCTTCTTTTTTCCTTCTTCTTTTTTTTATCCTTTTTTTTTTTTTTCTCCTTCCTTTTTTCCTGTTCTTTTTTTATCATTTCCTTTTTCTGTTTTTTTTTTTTTTTTCCTCAGTTCTCCTTTTTTTTTTTTCCCTTTTCTTCTTTATTTTTTTTGAATTTTTTTTTTTTCTTTTCTTTTTTTATCTATTTTTTTGTATTCTTCTTTTTTTCTTTTTCCTTCTTCTTCTTCTTTTTCCTTTTTCTTTTTTTTTTTTTTTTCCTTTTCTTTTTTTTCCTTTTCTTTTTTTTTATCCTTCTCAGTTTTTCTTTTTTCCTTTTCCATTTTTCTTTTTTTTTTCTTTTTTTTTTTCCTTCTCTTTTTTTTGAATTTTCCTTTTTTTTTTTTTTGATCCTTTTGATTTCTTTTTTTTTTTTTTTTTTTTCTTTTCTTTTTTTTTTTATCATTTTCTTCTTTTCCTTCTCCTTTTTCTTCTTTTCTTTTTCTTTTTTTTCTTTTCTTCCTTTTTTTTTCCTTTTTTTTTTTTTTTTCTTCTTTTCCTTTTCCTTTTTCTTCTTTCTTTTTTTCTTTTTTTCTTTTTTTTTTTTCTTCTTTTTTATCCTTTCCTTTTTTTTT